AAAAAAAAAAAAAAAAAAAAAAAAAAAAAAAAAAAAAAAAAGTGATATGAAATATGAAGATTTTATCTTTAAAAGTAGTACAAAGGAACTCATTCAGTGATTATTGTCCAGGCAATTTGGAAAACTGACCTAATGACCGACTGAAAATTAGTCAAGGAGAAATATTTACAACACAAAGAAAGTTTGAAAAATAATATCTCTCTTGGTGCAATATGAAATCAAGTAAATTCTTTATACAAATAAGTAAGAACACTTGCTTATGCTGGATGCCAGTATTTTCCCAGTAAGACAGCAAATATTTTCCCAGAGCTAATACTATTTTAAATATTATTCAAGCACAAAATTGATTTAAAACTATGTAATTTTGAGAAACAATACTTGAAATTCCAAATTAAAACAAAGCATTTGAAACATAAATAGAGCCAATGAAAAAATTTGGCAAATTTTGGTATTTTTCAGAGATCTCATCACAGAACAAAATACATATCTTAAACAAATTCTGTCAAAAACTCATTTATATTGACTATGTTAGACAAATATTACTTTGGCAGCTCCTGAAAAGTCAGGTGCCTACAGAGAATCAAGGCATGTTGATTCCTCAGATTTTCACAAAATACTGTTAAAAAAATCTCAAATAGGGGCCGGCCCGGTGGCGCACTGCTACAGTGCGCCGCTGTGAGAAGTCCAGCTCCTGTTTAAAAACCTACATGTGATTTTTCAGGCTTGTCCACAGGCAATTACAAAAGCTTTACCTGGCATGTTCATGGGGAAAGCTGCCTTCGCACAGCAGACTTGGTGCATGGCCAGTGAGTGCATTGCAGTCTCTGAAGGGAGTTGTGGTCAAGGACTCAGCCTCCCTGGCTGATCATGCTCTTTGCATATTTATATTCCTAGCCCCAGAGGCTTCATCCTAAGTCTCTTTATCTGAAGCCTTTGGCCAAGGTCCTTTTCAAGTGTCTCTGCTGAGCCTTACTTACAGGCAGAAGAAAGGAAAAATTGAAGACAATTTTCCCCACACTAACTTAGTCCAGCACTTTTCCTAGCCTCTTCACCTACTTTTCTCAGGATCCATAAAATTGCTGCAGACTTTTGTTCAAGGACTCCTCAACAGTGAGACAACACTCAACTCTGCATTGGTCCACCAGACCCTGGATGAGTGTGCCAGCCCAAGGGGGAAAATGGAATAGAGGGGAGCATGTACTTTCTCTGGCTTTAGTCTCTTAGTCATACTATCACAGCAAATGATTAAAGATCTCACTGTTAACTTTTATTTTGACTCCTTGTTGATTTAATTGGCTGCTACTCAACACTGCTGAGCCCCTAACCTAAACAAATGAAGAGATTATGGGAAGGGGAATGAAGATTCACACAATATTAATTTGCAAATCAGTATAGAGACCACTATTTTGAAATTCCTGAGAACTGAGATATTTTGGACCACTAAAGCAGTCAGAGTTATTGTGTTTCTGGCATTTCTATTTATTTCTCCGAAGTGATGATGTTAATCCTTTTAAAAGAATCGAGGTACCTATGTTTTACCAAAATCAATCTTCTACTCTACAGAAGTTAATATGTCAAGTTAGAAGTTTACTTGTTGGAGACTGGAAGGAGAGAAATGAGCTGACCCAATCCTACCAGGAGAAAGGAAGGTAAACAACAACAATCAAAAAAAAA